TTTCAGTATTTTCCAATCTTCAGAGCAACTTGAATTTGAGCGTTCTGCACAACCGATAGCAAGATGAGTTGTAGAGATTTCATGTGGTCCTTATTCTGGCTCTTAGTATTGCTTTTGTTTGGTTGGCCGATCGGAATATTCTTTGGTGGGATCTATGGTTTTGTCTCTCCTCTATCTACCTGTATAGGCCTGGATGATGTTACAGATGTCCTTCTAAAAGCTGCAAGCCTTGGTCGAACGTGTGCTGAAAATATGATATCAAGTGAAGCTGCCTGCTAAACAGCAAACTCTGCTATTTGAGCAAGGAAAAGAATGTCGTGCCATCCCCAACAAGCCATTATGACTCCAAATCTTTAAATGTAGGGACAATACCATTACTTTCCACTACTGAATTTCAAAGAGAGTGGTGTTTTTTTGTCTCTTGACAACATGCTTCTGAAACAATTGTCTGAAATATTTTAGGATGTCACCAAATAAATCAGGTTTCCTAACAGTTGTATGTTTGATTCACATGCGTCACAAAATAATAATAATGATGCTTGCATTTCATACAGTGCTTTTCACTTTGGGAGGCAATGTTAAAGCACTTCTCTTCAACTGTGCCTTCAAACCCCCCTTCTCAACTCTCTACCCCCTCCTCGCTCCCTCCCTTCCCTCCCCTCACCCTGACCATTTCCCCCCTGCTCAGGTCCCGACCCAACTGTCCAGTGCCTTGGGACGTCCTCCCGACGTGAAAGGCGCTGTATAAATGCAATCTTGTTGTTGTTGTTGTGGTTTACTTTAAAGTGTAATGACTGTCTTTGTGGGTGAACAACATTTTGCATTATTTTAAACAAACTATATTTTTTTCCCCCTTTAAACAACAAGATCTAGCTTCTTGTTGGTATCCTAAATTAGAAAGTTGGGAGTTTAAGGCCCATGTTAGGACATTGAGCTCATGGTTGATGCTCCAGTGCAGTGCTAGGGAGCAATGAGTTGTCCAAAGTGCTGTTCATTGGATAAAATGTTTAACCAAGGTCTCTCTGCCTGTTCAGGTGCACATTAAAAATCTCATGGCGTCATTCAAAAACGACAACAACAAAATTACATTTATAAAGCACCTTTCACATCGGAAAGACGTCCCAAAGCGCTGAACAGTCAGGTGTCAGGGCCCGAGCTTGGGGGAGGGGTGGTGTAGGGGTGAGGGAAGGCAGAGAGGTGAGAGGGAGAAAGGCACAGTCGAAGAGAAGGGTCTTGAGACCAGCCTCATTGGAGGCAACGGAGAAAATGAAGTGAAGGGACCGTGGGATGGAGTTCTATAGAAGGGAGCTTCTCTCAATGTCGTACCCAATAATCCTGCAGCCCCCAAAAATGTTCACTCACTTGCTAGCAGTTGGAAGTTTTGTGGGTCATTGCTATGCATAAATTGGGTGCCATATTCCCTACAAATCTACACACTGCACTTTACAGAAAATTGTTTGAAACACTTTTCAATGTAAGTTGCTTGGAGTTCCCAAAGAACACATGTCTATCATATCTATGAAATGGATCATTGTTAACCTGAAAGACTAATTCCAAGTGTTAAGGAGCAACGTGGCAATATATATATCCAAATAGGATTGTAATTAATTCTCTAAAATGTATAGATTTTACAACAACAACAACAAGATTCCATTTATAGAGTGCCTTTCACGTTGGGAGGACGTCCCAAGGCGCTGGACAGTTGGAGCAGGGGGGAAATGGTCAGGGTGAGGGAAGGGAAGGGAGGGAGCGAGGAGGGGGCAGAGAGTCGAGAGGGCAGCTGAAGGCACAGTCAAAGAGAAAGGTTTTGAGACCGGCCTTGAAGGAGGAAAGGGAGGAGGCAAGGCGAAGGCACTGGGGGATGGAGTTCCAGAGCCTAGGGGCTGAGAGGCTGAAGACCCGGCCACCGATGCTCGGGCGGGGGATACAAGGGACAAGGGAGAATTAAAAGCCTTCTGTGGAGAAAACACTTGTGTAAACTGGAAGGACCAAATGATCAGTTTCTATGATGTAAGATGCTATGATTCTCCTCAAACATAAACTTTGTTGACACTGGGTAAATCTCAGATGTTAATGAAAGTGGCTGCCTTTCTATAGCACTGATGCTAATTTTAAAAGTTCAGATGTAAGATTTATGTGTCGACATAAAGATACAATGCAGCATCTGTGTTTCCAGCCTTTTATACCATTCACCCAGCAAGGAATCGAATTGTAAATAAGGCCAACTGTTTCACTGACTGGGTTGCTCCCGCCCTGCTGGCTCCTCTTTTTTGCTGAGCAACAGGTGGTGGTAAAGGGCAGCTGGCCATCATAGGTAATGTTTACTTTGGCTTATTTTGGTGACAAATGATGACAATGCTGATTCACTCTTCAGAGAACAGGACTTGAACTTACACTATCAAATGCTAAGGGTTTCTAATTATTGGTAACATAAGAATTACATTTTTTACAAAAATATTGCATTTGGTAGGTTTAGAGTTTAGATTTAACACTGAACATAATAACCATTGTGTAGGGTTGAATCTTACTGAAATATGGAGCCAACAATTTAGGCTTCATAGCTGCCCTGACATTGCCAAAGGGCACTACTACTGATTGCCAAAGGAGAATGGCATCTATTAGATCAGTGGCAAAATTATCTCATTACATGTTCACTTTCCCAAAAGGAGTCAATAAATAAACCATATATCTTAGTTTTCATTTTTAAAATGTGTCCTAAAATATTATGGGAATGTTTGGAGAATTTGATGAAAACTGCGAAGAAATAATTTAAAAAGGCCAACTTATTGACAGTAAACCCTGAAGAAAAATGCGACAGTAGAGTTGAAATAGTTTTTGCCCAAACACAAAATAACAAACTGCAGAACTTCCATGTTATAATGGTTGGATGTGCCTGTTTCAGTGAACTGTATTCGGCAATGTATCCAGAATTAATTGGTTGTGAAGTAAATATACAATATTAAATGGTTCTGTTCATGCTTCTGTTCTATGATTTTTGTTACTTAGTTCAATGTAATGCATTTACACATTATAAGCCATTTCAGATACACAGTGTTATACTCTTAATGTTTACAGAAGTCTTCAGCGGCGAAGCACTAAGTCCATCTACAGCAGTGTTCTAAGGGGACTGTATTATGCATAATATATAATTAAGAATCTAGTCTTCCAGGCTCGTGTGCATAACAGCTGAGAAACACACTGAACATGATCCAATGGTTAAGTCTGTCATCTGCCCCAAAGAGTGAGTGTGTGAGTGTACCAGATTGTATTACATCCTAACTGGTAAACTCCAAGGTCCACAGGAAGCTTTTAGTGATCGTTTACAATTTTGCACATTTCTGCAAAACTATTTGGGGTAAGAATGGCAGCTATGGTTCGATGGCAACATGAAGAAATGTGAAAAGTACAGCCAGGATTTTAAATGAGTACAGCCTTGTAGTTGTGCTTGTAGAATGTGCTGTCTGCCAATATTTTCCGAGTTGTTGCTTACATTCATAAGATTGACTTTCACTGACACCTTTCTGTCTACCGTGGAACCACCTCTACTTGGCTAACCGTGGCTAACCGTGACTCTTACGTTTACGGTTTGTGTAGACGCTCGACCGTAAGACATGGCTGATCTTATTTTCAAACCAAAATAATTCCTGCAGCTGAATGAATGCAAATATAAATATCAATACATACGTGTTCTGACATAATGTGAGAATTCACTCGCCAATTACAATTAGGCAGATCCATATTTTGCTGATACAGTAGAAGGAGCTCTCCTTATTCCCTCAAAGCAAATGAAAGGTGTGCGGTTTGATGAGAGCCGGATTTGCTTTGCCAGGAACAGATCAAACCGGGAGACTGCCCTGGATGATTTTATTTTTCTCCCTCTGGAAAAGATCCAGTTTATTCGACCAGTTTAAGACATTTGGGACGTTTGAGAATATGTCTGATTTTCCCAAAGTGGATAGTTTCGACGAAAATATAATTGTGTGTGTGTTGGGGGGTCGTTGGTAGAAGGCAGAGAGTTGATAAAGCACAGCTATTTCCTATCGTTATGTTATTGGATGGGTGTTCTTCCAACTATATTTTATATATATATATATAAAGTATATATATATATTTTATACCCGTATAAATGATACAAGTCCAGTTACTCTGTTCTGTGGTGTATGTCCTCGAACAACTCCATCCTTCACTACGTGGATCTCTCTCTCTCAAAGCACCGCTTTCGTCCGGTTTAAATGCGGCAAAGTCTCTGACACCGATTGAAATGCCTTTTCGTATTTTTTTGTAAAAATAAAAAAAAATGAATTGACGAGTTTTTGGGGTTTAACGCGCATTACGTTCGGACGGAGTTGCAAACCAGAAAGACAGACAAGAGACACAGACACAGACAGACACAGACAGACAGAGAGGTGCCGACATCCAGAGGAATCCAACCCCCCGAACATCGGCGCTTTTGCGCACCATCTCCACTCCGTTTCGACGCCCGAACGGATGCAGCGGCCGAACAAAAATACACCAAAGCCTCCGCTCCGGTGCAAGTTGTTGGCCTTTATTTGGAGGGGAAACGCCTTCGACGAAAACGGGTCGACTTCAGCAGCACTTGTGTCTGACTGCCCTCTCCCCCCCCTCTCCCCCCCTCTCCCCCCTCCCCCGGCGGGTGGGGGAATGCTCTCAGCGCCCGTCTTTCCCTATTTGGAAGTGTCTGTGCAGCTCCTGGTCCGGGGGTCGGAGCGGAGCCGCCGCCGGCACTGCCCTTACATGGGCTGCGCTCTGGGAACCGCTTCGCACTCGCGCAGCGTCCGACTCTCCTTCAGGAGCCGCTCTCTCCATTCATGGCTTCTCCGGCGCTCGGTGGCGTGAAAGCGACCAAATAAGGACACGGTCCCCGGCTCTCCGCCCCACTCTCCCCCCCCTCTCCCCCCCTCTCCCCCCACCCCCGACGGGGCTTTGGGTTTCGGCAGCACATCGGGGAATATAAATCTTGTCCCTCGCACTCAGCTTCTACCCATCTTTCCAGAGGAGTCAGGAGAAGGCGCTCATCTGGTGAGTACCTCCGACTTCAACCAAAACTCTCTCTCTCTCTCTCTCTCTCTTAAGGCGCAGAAATCTTTTAACAGAATAGTTTTGTTGATGTGCTTTTGTTTAGGGTTTCAAGATACTGCTTTTTGCTTTAAGGTTGCGGTTCCGACTGAGCTAATTTGGGAAAGAGATGGTACACAGATGAAAGATAAGATGCATAAGAAATAAAACCAGCAAAACGCACCTTGTTTGCATCTGTAAAGCAATGCAGGATCAGGAAAGCCATTCATAAGGGTTCAACATCCATTATCTTAACTTAACTTATCACAGCTTTATTGCTTTCTACCCTGAAATTGAACGTGTTATTATTTCGATCTTTAATTTTAATACCTGCAATTTTTTTCCAAAAACAATACCCAGTCCAGAAATGTAATGCCCTGAAGTAACACGTTTGTGTTGTGTAGAATTTTTTTTTNAGAACTAAACTTGTTTCTATACCCATAGCCATGTCGATAAGGTGAAAGAACAGCAGAGTAAAATTGAGTTGAAAGCTATATTTTTTTTTGATAGAATGACTTAACCATTTCGCTAACGTTGACCTTTAAATAATAAATAATAATAATCCTTGCATTTGGTATAACGCTTTTCACGTCTTCTAGACATACCAAAGCGCTTCACAGAATATACTGTAAAGTGAATTGACTGTATATTTGTGGGCGAACGCGGAAGCCGATTGCGCACAGCAATGTCCCACAAACAGTCATGGATTAAAAATGACCAATTTATTATTGTTTTTTTTTGGAGGGATTATTATTAGGCGTGTGGAGTAAGGAAACTTGCCCAAGGTTTCGCCCTCTGCCTGGAATTGAACTCAGGTCTCTCACTTGCAAAGCGAGTGCTCTAACCACTGAGCTACAGGAATCCTTTTAAAGACCTTTTATAGCATTGAAATGTTTAAGAGCAGCAAAGGCTTTTATGAAAGTTAACTTAATTGAAGCTCGATCCAAACATGAACAGCAGCCAAACCATCGCCTGGTGTCCTCTCCTGAATTATAATGGACTGAATTAAAAAAGAGTTCAACAAAAAGAGTTTCAGATTTAACACCAAACTTTCATTAAAGGCAGGTTCTCATGGGGAAAGATCAAGACACGTGCAGCTTAATTAATGATAACGATCCTTGCATTTTTTTAAAAAATTGGCGCTGAGATCCTTACGAATTTCAATGCTGTTTGTTTTAAGTTGTCTTGTGAATATCAGCAAATTCCATACCTGTGGCAGATCTCTTGACAATTGCGGGACTGAGCTTTCAATAATAATATGATTGATATTTAATAATAATACAATAATAATTTGATTATTATTTAATAATATAATAATATGATTATTATTTAATAATGATTATTTTTTAATAATATGATTATTATTTACAAGGATCGTTATCATTATTAATCAAAATAAAGATATGCATTTTGCATGCTAATCGATGCAAACGGATACTCTCAGTGGCGACGATGTATTTTTAACCTTGTTGTCTTATGTGTACAGATCCCAACAACATAACCATGTGCGACGAAGAGGAAACCACCGCCTTAGTGTGCGACAATGGTTCCGGACTGGTGAAGGCTGGTTTCGCCGGGGATGATGCCCCCCGAGCTGTGTTTCCCTCCATCGTCGGCCGCCCTCGCCACCAGGTACTTAAAGATATAGCACAGGGCCGCCTTTCATCTAACATTACACCAGGACTTTAGTAATAGCCACGTCCTCTTCAATAAATTATACAGGTCCAACAGCAAAGCTTTTTATTTTGAACAAATACTTCGTTTTCAAAGTTTTCCTTTGATAAAAGACTTAGTTCTTATTTAAAGTTTTAGTGAAAGTTTAAGATGTGTCTTTTTAAGAAAGCCCCTCTCTCATTTTAAACCACAGACGTCGCTTCATCAATGCTATTTCCCGATATTTTCTATTCAGATTTAACGCAAAACACTTGTCAGACTACTTACATCGGTTTCTATTATCTCAAATGCGTATTAAGTATGTTTTATTCATTATTGTAAAAAAAACCTAAGGGAATCAGCAGGGACTGTATGTAGTGCAGGGCACACATCAACAAAACTTAACAAGATTGTGAGAGAAAGCCAGAGAGGTGTAGCTTTCAAGCTTGTTGATGCATCATTCCATGTGTTGTAGGGTGTCATGGTTGGCATGGGTCAGAAAGATGCCTATGTGGGGGATGAAGCCCAGAGCAAGAGAGGTATCCTTACCCTGAAGTATCCCATTGAGCACGGCATCATTACCAACTGGGACGACATGGAGAAGATCTGGCACCACACCTTCTACAATGAGCTCCGTGTGGCTCCTGAAGAGCATCCCACCCTGCTCACAGAGGCTCCTTTGAATCCTAAAGCCAACCGTGAGAAAATGACCCAAATCATGTTTGAGACCTTCAACGTCCCAGCCATGTATGTGGCTATCCAAGCTGTCCTTTCCCTGTACGCCTCCGGTCGTACCACAGGTAAGTCTAATATCCAGACAAAGATGGAAGATTATATTTTTAAAAATACACATTATATTAAATGTATAACTTATCAACAGATTATCCAGATAAAGCATATCTAGTCTGAATTTTGTATTTCTTAGCTGAACATTTTGAAATATAAATAAATATTGTCTGATGTTGTGGCTTCATCAGTTTTTTTAAAAAAGACTATTGTCAAATTAGCTGGGCAAAAGGGTCGAGTAGTAGTAGAATGGTTCATGAAGTCTTAATTCCTGTTGTTTTCTGCTCCTTTAGGTATTGTCCTGGACTCTGGTGATGGTGTCACCCACAACGTCCCAATCTATGAAGGTTACGCATTGCCCCATGCCATCATGCGCCTGGATTTGGCTGGTAGGGATCTGACTGACTACCTCATGAAGATCCTCACTGAGCGTGGCTACTCCTTTGTCACAACCGGTAGGTTAAATTCAGTTCAGTTCACTCGGCATAACCTTATTGGTGTTCTCCAACCCAGAAGCTTGGAGGATGGGCATCTAAATTGTTTCCTTGTCTCTCTGCAGCTGAACGTGAAATTGTCCGCGACATCAAGGAAAAACTGTGCTATGTCGCCCTGGACTTTGAGAATGAAATGGCCACCGCAGCCTCCTCCTCCTCTCTGGAGAAGAGCTATGAGTTGCCCGACGGTCAGGTTATCACCATTGGCAATGAACGTTTCAGATGCCCAGAGACCCTCTTCCAACCATCCTTCATCGGTAGGTATTCAAGCTCAATGTTGACACCAACCCCCCCCCCCCACCCCCCCACGCCCCTTCCCTACTACGAAGGCAAGGTTATGTTATGTAACAGCTGATTGATGGATAGACACGTGTACTTTATGTACTGTATATTCATCAGAGCTTCTCCAGCAGTTGCTTTGCTGACATATTACTTGCATTACCATCTGTTGCCAAATCCTGTACTCTGGCTTGCACCTGTTGCTCTGTAATGACGGTTTGGCATCAAGTAGATCTATCTGAACAGTTGCCACAGTTCTAATTTCTTCTCCCGAAATATAGCGCACCCCTTTGCTTAATACAATGCAGCTTGCTTGGAAGCTCAGTTCACAATAGTAAAAGATCGCCTATTCTCCTTGCCACAGGAATGGAATCTGCTGGTATCCATGAGACAACTTACAACAGCATCATGAAGTGCGATATTGACATCCGTAAGGATCTCTACGCCAACAACGTCTTGTCCGGTGGTACCACCATGTACCCAGGTATTGCTGACCGCATGCAGAAGGAAATCACTGCCCTGGCCCCCAGCACAATGAAGATCAAGGTAATAAAATCAACAGTTCATTTTGGTAATATTCTAAACTATATCGAATTGTGGAATAGAACTATTTGAAAATGGTTTCAGTGCTATTAGAAAATAATAGGGAATTTATTGGATTTATTAGATTTTGAACGTTGCTAATACGATGCATTTTCACCGTACAATTAAGCATCTTGAAAACATTCCCTTGATTTGAGTTAGCGTAAATACTGTCATTTGAGAAGTCGGTGTTTGGAGATGTGCTTCATTCTCGTATTAATTGGATATGCCAATCTTTTTTCTCTCTCTCTAGATCATTGCTCCACCTGAGCGTAAATACTCTGTCTGGATCGGAGGTTCCATTCTGGCATCTCTGTCCACCTTCCAGCAGATGTGGATCAGCAAGCAGGAGTATGATGAAGCTGGCCCATCCATTGTCCACCGCAAATGCTTCTAAACGCCAGAGGGATTCTACCTTTCCTGGAACTCAGGTTGAGAACATTGTGCCTTTCACTGGTTTGAACTGGCAGGCCATCGGGAGACGCGCAATACTTCCTGAACTGTTATCATTGTACAGTTTGTTTACACCTTTGTGCAATTTATTTGTGACAATAATATTTATTGATTTATGAAAAATAAACAAGACCGGGACTTGCAACGTGTCACGATTCTTGTCTGTGTATTTGAGGGAAAGGGAGGGGATGGGGGGTGTGAGTGGAGGGCAGTTGAAAGTCACAGAATTACAAGTATTTCCTCTCACTTGGAATTAACCAGAGTGGACAATTGTATCAAAAATGAAGAACTACAACGTTTTAAACATTTTCCCTGTATAAAAGTATATTAAATACAAGGAGATGCATGTACATAGAAAGATAGTGCCACAGTTATGCCACAAACGGTCTGTTTCCGATGAATGATAAGTCACGGATAATAAGTAAAGCAACACCACTGAATTAACACCTAACAAGAACAGTACGCACCATAAGATGTATTACAAATAATGATGGATTAAAGAGTATCATTCAAAAACATGAAATCAACTCTTTATTGCTGTTTTTTTTTGTGTGGGGATGGCAAGGTTCCCTGTTCATCACTTAAAATAAACTGATAGTAATTTGCCAACCAAAAGGCAACCATAAATGGAAGCTACTACTGCTTTTCACTGTAAGTGAAATTTGATATTATCCTCTCTAAAAGAAGTACAGTACATTCAACACAAATAGCTGGAATTTAGCGCCCGAGGAATTGACCTGGTTATCGCATTACAAGCAGTACACATAACACTAATCTCTGACCATTGAGTAATACAGTACAGTGTGGCCCAGTGTGGCCATGTGAAGTGCTTTGAGGCATCCTTCCGACGTGATAAGGCGCTATACCAAATGCGAGGTATTATTATTATTCATATTGTATCTAGAGAGATCTTATTGAAGTATTCCAAAGAATATAGTTAAATCTAATCCTAATGGTAAGATTAACACAAATGACAAACTACAAGGGGCGTGTACTCAAGGGTAGGAAAGAGGAGGTAAACCAGTGAGTTTAGATTTAATTACTTGACACAACATGATGACTATGTGGAATGGACTGGAGGCACTGTGCCAGCAATTTCAACAGAGAATTTGATAGCTATCAAGTGAAGACATGGATTGAAGGGTGTGAGAGATGGAGCAATGTATAATTTTTTTTAATATTGACACCAACCAGCTGGACACAAAGATCATTTCTGGGATTATATATTTCTATGTATGATATCAGATGCAAGATCAGTGAATAAAAACAGCTCTGTTTTCTACTTTAGGGTTAGCAGAATATTGTCAGGGCTCATGCAAATTCAATCCTTGTGTTTTCATATTTTATGAGTTATTTCCCTGAATCCATAATAATCTTTCTTTAAAAGAGATTGTTTCCTAATTATGATTTGGGGTAACAGCAAGCTGGAGAGATCTGTTTCAGAAAACACAACAATGTTCTGTTGATGTTATTCCAGGGATTTGAAAGATGCTTCCTTTCTTAAATATATTTGATCCAGATTAAAATAAAATCACTTGGCAAGAAACCTTTGTAAAACTGAGATCTTTCAAAACCATGAGATATAATGTTGATGATGTGTCCTTGCATGCTTTATTTCAGAACTACTGGCCAGGAAGGTGAACACGTGAGAAAGGGCTAAAACATGCTTCAAACATTCATTGTGAAAGAACTGCAAGTGGAATATATGCTTATAAACATATCAAAGAACCCCATTCCATTAAAACAAAGTGAAATGAATGGAATGGAAACACAAAGATTGTCAACCCAGGTAGTGGATACATTTGTACTTGTGTTACATTTGTATTATTCAGCCTGGAGGGGTTAGAAAAACAACAGTCTGTGGTGAAAGATTAAAAACAAATACTTGAAGGAAATTCCAATCTTTCAAATAGGATTAATGGGCAACAGTTACTGATGTTCAATCTCCTGGAGATTGAGGCCAGTGTTAAAATATTACAGATAGCAAGAACATTGTAAAATATTTGTGCCCAGTTATATTCAAGGAATAATTTCTACAGGATGTGGTTGATTGATTTAGAGTCAACATTTGATGACATTTATTTATTTAGTACCTCCGCTCGGTGGGTACTGGCCTGCCCCAATCGGAGATCAACCCTTTGATCTTTCTACCCACCCTCTGGAACTCCATCCCTGTGCCCCTCTGCCTCCCCCCCCCCCCCCCCACCCTCCACCCCTCCTTGTCTCCTTCAAGGCCCATCTCAAGACCTTCCTATTTGACCATGCCATCAGTCGTCTACATAATGCGCAGACATTACACTTTATATCCTGTGAGTGCTTTCAGAAATCATCATGACATAAAAGGTGATATATATATAAAGTGCAATGATTTTATCTTCACCCAGAGCAAGCAACATTATTTATCCTTGTTTTCGTCTGGTCTTTCCTTTTCATAAAAGCTGAAAATTTCCAGCAATTAAAAAAGTAGAAATGTAAGAGTAAAAAGTAACAAAAGTAATATTTTAGGGGGAGCGCAAATTAAACCTCATTTGCCCAACCCCAAGAAGTAAATGAAATATTTAAAATAAATATTTAGTAATTGCATCCAAACTGAAATTTACATATAGAAAATATATAGGCCAGGAGGCATATTAAACATTAATCCTGTGTGATTATAATCATGAATGAAATGGCATAAACAACTAACATTTGCTAATCCATCTTGGCTTCTATTCGTTGGTTTTTGCTTGTGGCTCAAGGTTGCAATGTGTGGGTCCTGTTCATAATCAATTGTCAATCAACCAGTTGACGTTTTACTGGGTTTGTGACTCCTGTTAACCCTGCAATCCAAAGAGGGAGCCTGATCACTGCTAGAAAGTTTGCCAGACTATGCTCTCAATGGCAAATTATGCTGTTTTAGCTGGTTAATCTCCACCAGTACCCCCAGTGCACACTCTGGAGCCCCCACACCTTGCTTCTCAACAACCTATCCCTAATGACTCCAAAATTAGGTAAGCAGGGTGCATCCTTCTTGAAGAGAGTGCTTTTGTTTTTGGTCAGACACATGCAAAAGCTTATCACCATGCTTGAATACCCAAACAAACAAAGTTCCATGCATCCCACATATGCATGGAAATTCCAGAGATATGAGGAGAGAGTGTGCATTCCATTCTAGCCACGGGGACCTTTCTCTTTGTAGGTGGCATAGGTTTGTGGAATTCTCAGTCTGGTTTAGACACTCATAAGCATGATGATATGTTTCTGCACAGGCCAAATTAATACTACAGTTCTATACACAGTAGTTAAATCGTTTTGTTCCAAAAACAATGCACAAAAGTGCTTATCATTGCATATTCGTAATAATCAGGGCAACTGTGCATTTTCCAAAGGTATTGCGTTAATACTATAAATGCATCGAAGAAGAAGGGCATAAAACGTAGTTGGATCATTCTAATAAAACAGCAACTGAATAATCCTTGCTACGTAACATGATACATAACAATTTCAGTCCAAATAACCAAGCTTGAGGGTTAATAGTATGCGTGACCTGAAAAATCGTACTGTCGCATGAACCCTATAGAGGTCAGCCAGAACTGAGAGAACTGAATTGATCCTCAATAAGATTTGTCTCTTCCAGCCGAGCCACCAAGGACAAGCTGCAGTCAATTTCATTGAAAGTGATTTAAATTTGATTTCTTTAAATTTCATGTTCGCTGAGTTACTTCCAAATGTGACCCGCAGATCATTATTTACTCAGATCGTAGTCTTGCCGCGATTTGCTTCAGTTAAGACATGATTTCCTTCAGGTAGAGTAAAGGCTGAACGCAATACAATCCTACTCGGTCTGATACAAGCGTTTGCTCCAGCATCTTACACACGTGAACGTGTTAGCATTCCCTTCGAGCTAAAAAGCAAACCTGACCCACCTCAAATAGATTGCAATCCAGTCAGGTAGATGGAAGCGGTGCAATATCTGCACTCCCGAAGGAATATACAGCAGATCTGACGAAAATCAGAAACACCAGGATCTGTGAAATCCTCAGAAGGTTTTTAGGGGTTGGACGGTTTGGATGGGAAGCTTTCCCAGTACTTCTGCGAGTAAGAATCATTTTCGTCTTTGCGGGTTAGTTTTCCGGCCAGGATGCTCCCACCATGTCACAGGATTGACAGATACAAACGTGTATTCCGCACACGTGTGTGCAAGTGGTCCGCCATGTGATGGGGGAGGGGGAGAGAGAAGGAGAGAGAGAGAGAGAGGGAGGGGGGGGGGGGGGGGGGTGGAGAGAGAAGGAGAGAAGGAGAGAGGGAGAGTCTTTGCTTGCGATTTGTCGAGTCTACAACAGGCACAGAATGTACCAATTCACCCTACATCTCACACCTACCCCAAACACATTAAATACATCTCACGAGTCCAACACCAACCTATTGTGGTACATCTACGTATCATTGTTTTCTTGCGTTAAAATGCAAAATAAAATATATTCAACGGGATGCTGCGTTAAATACAGGGAACAGACATGTACGAGTCCATGTGGTCCCTTGATGAAATGTAAGAATGGCCCTGATAAATGTAATAATAATAATAATTATGGTTTATTATCTGATTATGTAAGGCTCTGTGGTTGCAGCCTGAGCTCAGCTGTCAGTGGTTCAGTACAGCTGGTGGATGGTGGATCATATTGAAAAGCAGTGTAAAGCTGTGCTGCTTAGGTTCCTGGTCAAGGTGTTCATTCATCACCGCTCTGCTTTTCGTGCCTTTGCAATCCTTACACTCGCATCGAGAGCAAGTTCTGCTTTGGCGGTTGATATACTTCTGGGATCTGGACACAGGTGAGGAATCTGCGTGCACTGAGATGACACTGCGCCCTTTACCGCAAATTAATCTGCGGACAGATATTTCAAAATAATGAAAACAAGAAAATCCCTGCGCGTTTGGCGGATATCCAACAACTTGTGTGTGTGTGTGTGTGTGTGTGTGTGTCGGTGACGCAGGAAGAGACTATTTAAAGGCAGATTAAAGCCCACATGACTCTAAAAGCCACCTTCGTCCATTCAGACCATGCCATCCTCCTGCCCAAAATAAGAGAGCTTATACTGTATTAATCGGGCAGTCAGCAGAATACATTGCAAGGCTTCGCCGCGCTCGGATTCAGTTCAGTGCCAACAGACTGCTTCGCCACGCTCTATGGGGTTTGATTGGGAAAAAATAGAGGAGTGATATTCCGCAGAACTAATTGTTGGTTGCCAACCTTCAGGTTTTTTCTTTTTTTACCTCCGGATGAACAACCATGGGAGAATGGACGATTTTAGAGAGACTGTTGGAGGCGGCTGTCCAGCAGCATTCTACAATGATAGGAAGGTAAGTGAGAACATAATCTGCAGTTTCAGCAAATCAGCCATTAAGGCTGGGATTTTAGCATTGGTCAGCCTTTTAATCCACAGTGCATTACACTATTATTATTGTATTCGTAACGACGGATCGGCTAACGATTCTGCTGGTGGAACACTTTCAGTAGAAATAACGAAGCCAGAGAGTGTGGTACGAAATGGTATAGTGTAGTTGTAACAGAAGATACAGCAGTAAAGACGTGTTTGGAAGTAGGCCGTTGATGCTTAGTGCTTGTAAGATACTTATCTTCAGCCCTTCACACGCCGACGTATATTCTTGGGTCAAGAAGAACTGAAGTGGATAGATATTTATTAGGTTAGGGTAACGAGGGCTATCAGGCAAAGGCAGCTCTTTGGAGTTGAGATACAGATCAGTCCCAATCTAACAGAATGGGGGATGCTCCTACCTCCCTGAGCCTGGCTCTTGCCAACCTGTGCCTTAAACTTTGGGGAATTAGGTAAAGCAGGATGTGACCCCCCCCCCCCCCCCCCCAACACCCCCCCAGGGAGAGAGTGCGCATTCCATCCCATTCCACTCCAACAATCTATCTCAGGAATTTCCACGTGTAGGTGGGATGCATGGAATTCTCAGCTCGGTTTGGATGGGTTTCCCCATGTGTCAGACACCGGCTGCCCAAAATAAAATTCAGCCCTTCAGTAAAGCAAACGACTCGGTTATAATGTTTGTTGTCGCACAATCAAGACGATGCCACTTAAAATTGCTGGAAAAGTTGGGGGCCTCAGACGTTGCCATTACGTATCTGCAGACTTTCTGCCTTTCCCGCAGCGACTGTTCTGCACGAGGACCAAACGCGTTGATAGATGAGAAAGATCGATACGGTTCTCGCTCTGCATTTGTTCTCCAGGATCTTGTTGACTGTGGTGGTGATCTTCCGAATCCTGATCGTGGCAATCGTTGGAGAGACGGTGTATGACGACGAACAGACCATGTTCGTTTGCAACACCCTGCAGCCGGGCTGTAACCAGGCGTGCTATGACAAGGCGTTCCCGATCTCCCACATACGGTACTGGGTCTTCCAGATCATCATGGTGTGCACTCCCAGCCTCTGCTTCATCACGTACACCGTCCACCAGTCCTCCAAACAGCGTGAGAAAAAATACGGCAACGTGTTTCTCACCGTGGACAGAGATTTGGACATGTTGGTCAAGCGAGAAGACAACAGGAAGATTAAAAATACTGTGGTGAACGGGGTTCTTCAGAACTCGGACAACTCCGCCAAAGCCGCAGAAACGCGGGACTCGGTCATCAGAAACAACAAGATGTTGAAGATAAGGAGACAGGAAGGGATCTCTCGCTTCTACATCATTCAAGTGGTTTTCAGAAACGCTCTGGAGATTGGCTTTCTGGTGGGACAATATTTCCTGTACGGGTTCAAAGTCCCGTCCATGTACGAGTGTGACCGCTATCCGTGCGTCAAAGAGGTGGAGTGTTACGTGTCGAGACCGACGGAAAAGACTGTTTTTCTCGTCTTCATGTTTGCAGTGAGTGGCCTTTGCGTTGTCCTCAATCTGGCGGAGCTCAACCACTTGGGCTGGAGAAAGATCAAGACCGCGGTGAGGGGGGCAAGGGCAAGGAGGAAATCCATCGTCGAAATCAGGAACAAGGACACACCACACCGAATAGGTGTGCCAAACTTTGGCAGAACTCAGTCGAGCGACTCTGCATATGTGTGAGATTCCCACGCAGGGATCGGACTCTCCCTCCCTTCCCTCCCTCCATCCCCTCCCTTCCCTCCCTCCTTGCCATTTATTGTCGATTTCATGCCTATACCTGTCTAAACGTTTCATGGCAATATTTTTTTTCAGAGTGAAGATGCACAGTGGGCGTCTTGACAACGGCCTGTTATTGTCTTTGCCCGTTTTGAACACTGCCAAAGGATATCAAGCGTGTACTTAAGTGTCTCAAGTGCATATCCAACGCAGAATGATCCTGCTTTGGGAAAAGAGGATAGTGACTTACTTGTGATTTTTTTTTCTAATTATTCCTCTCCTTTACCTGTTTGGCTGTGCATTTAAAAAATTTAAAAAATCCCTAGTTATGCGCGTTGCATCTCGTGACACAAGATCTTCGGGGTGAAACATACTATTCCAAGTAACTTGCACGACAGCGAAAGTGCAAGTGTGGGAAGCTAATACTATTCATACCTTGTGTACATCGATGCAACGTTTATAGTGTCGGGGCATTATTAATGATGTGACTTGCCATCAGTTGTCTGTCATACCAGGGGAGCTTCTGTACTTGTTACTGGGGGTGGTTTTCTCGTTCAGTGTTATGTGCGATATATCTTTCAGGAATGGCAGACACCTTCTGGTTTTTAAGGTGTGCGTTTTAGCACAAGCTTTGTACAATCAAACCACACAGCAGTTCCAGTCAGTTGGTGGGGTGGGGGGGGGGGGGGGGGGGGGGGGGGGTGGGTACAAACGTGCACATTTTCTTCTTAACGTATAAATTATGTGTTCAGTTAGAATTAATTCAGCTCTTTTAGATGTCACCTGCGTTTTTTGTACCAAATCTTTTCTTTTTTTTTTGGGCTGTGATTGGTTAGAGCTTCGTGTTTTAATTTTGCCTCTTAGTTCACACCATGGACCTTAATTGATGTTAATAATAATATATATGTATAATGATATATATAATGTATATTAAATATATTATATATATTATAATATGATGCAAATGTTTCTTATTTGCGAGTAGATTTGAGCCACGTCAAAGCGAAGAACTTTTTACATTCTGAGAAACTTTTTTTTAAAAAAAGTTAAAGATATTGTAGCAGTCAGGTTATTCCAGAGACCGTGAGAAAACGTACAGCTTGAAGGACCAAAGCCCTGGCGGTCAGCGAATTTAGTTATTTTTTTCCCCCTTTATTGTAAACCTTTATCTATTGTAAATGTTCTCCTGTCAGTACCGTATTGTTTCCTAAGTGCCACACCTTGGACAGATAAATTTACCCAAAACGCATAAAACTCACCCCAAACGTGACCAACCAACAGTTTTAAACTGCTCCATATGTGTGTGCTTGTCTGATCTTAAGTATCCTGTCATTTATAAAGTCTTTCAGTGTTCGTTCACCTGTACGAATTTTTAACACAAAATGTAGATTTGTAAAGTAAAATGTTTGGTGCTTACTTAATTTTTGTTACGAATGTGAAAAACAGAAGTAAACCTTTTTTTTTTGCTCCCATCCTTTCAACTCTACTTTTGCAGGTCGAGCAAATTGTCATCAGCAACTTCTGCAAGATTATGACAGTCTGCAAAAGAGAACTGATTTCTGGTAGTTTGTAGCTGATGGAGATATAAATTGTGCGAGGGTCGATGGTGACGGGTGATGGTAAATACACAGGATCAGTTAAATGTGAAAGAAAATATCGTGGCAGAATGTGGAAGGAGGGAAACAATAGTAATAAGAATAGTAATAATGCACAATTGGAATATGCCTGGGGCGACACTTGTCAATTGGGGGTGGGTGGGGAGGGAGAGCTGTAACTCCATGTATAACCTAATATGGAGGTTCATTGCACCCATAGTAACATTTCTACCAAGGAATGATATCAAGGCCATGTGTATTGTGATGCGTTTTTACAAATGTATTTACATTATTTCTACTGTATGTTCTATTACATGAAAATAAATCTATCTTTATAACAAAGAAATTGCAATACAAATCGTATTGGAATAAAGGTACTGTATTATGAAATCAAACCTCCCTCCGACTCTGTCTTGACATCTCTTTCGAATCAGTATCTTCCAAATCTGAAGGTTAATGGAGATTAGGTTTTGATATAACAGGTTTACCGTTGATGAGATCAATGAGATCAATTTGGGTGAAAAGATGATAGTCCTTTAGCTCTGGTTAATTATTCTGTGAAAACACCACAACATGCTTGTTATAAAGAGCACGGCCACACATCCGCAAATAATTGACCTAATGATAAATATGAACATTTATTAACAGATTGTTTTTGTCATTTAAATTAAACATTGTATCCAAAGTATCAAAGAAGCTCATAAATTAATGGAGTTATCTCAATTCATGTATGTACACAAACTGGTTCACGAAATTAACTTCTAAAATGTTATTTTTTGTGATATATCGCATTGCAGTTTATCATTATAAAAAAAGAGCATTGCAATTTTTTAAAAAATCAATTAGACTCTATACACCTGATACATGCACGATTTGTAAAAAAATATACACAGATATTTCTTTAACAGTAGCTCCTAAACAGTATTATTTAAGGACGTAGCAGAACAGTTTCCTGAACAAAATTCCAACAATTTGTGATCTTCGCTATTTTTATTCCATCTCATGGTCCATTTCCGATCCTAGCGTTCAAGTTCTTTTTAATATAACATGCAGAAAAGACACCTGCAGCGGGTGCACAGTAAATGCACTGCAAACAAATCCTCTGGAGGATTTCGAAATGCAAGGGATTTGCAGGACTTGTTCTTTGTGACCGGGGGATGGAGAGCGCTGCAGATCTCCAGCTGATCACTGAGCATCTGCGGAGCAACGAGTGACCGAGAGGGCGACAGGTACAAGGAGGTTGATCGCTGATTGAGACCCCAGGTGCTGGGGAGGGGCGAACCGAGCAATTGTAACGGAGACCAGGAGCTGGTTTACCGGGAGCCGAGCTGTGGAACACAGTCCAAGTTTCCTCTTTGCTGCAGCTGTATTAGGTGAGCGAGGAATGACACTCTGTCCTGTGGATTACCTGCCCTGGTCCCATTTCCATGCAAAGCTGCTTCAAGCTTTCTTACCACCGAGGAACCAGCATTGGATGCTGTTCCGACACACGCAACGATGCACTCATAACAATCATTAGAGGGGCAGGAAGCCTTTCTTATTCAAATCAGTGGTTAATATTTCTCACTTTAACCTGTTTCCTCTGTGTTCTTGCATTGTCGGATTATTAACAATAGCATTTCTATCTCCTTCCTCTATATAATATGCAATTTCATTGAAGAATATGCCACTTAGAAGACAAAAGTGTAGGAAACCGCAAGTGGATCCATTGATAACACTCTGGCCCTTGAGTCAGAAGGTTACAGGTTCAAATGCCACACAGGGACTTGGAGCTCATATGGTGTAGATTGAAACTCCAATCCAGTCCCCAGGGGTGTGCTGCATTATTGGAGGTGCCAGCCTTGGGATGAGATGTTAAACTGAGTTCCTATCTGCCTGTTGAGGTGGATATTAAAGATTCCATGGCACTATTACAAAATAAAATGATAACACACATAATGTAGAATCTAAGGTAACATTTTTGCATGTAATGAGAATTTGTTCGATATTACAATTTGGCTGAGTTTTGTAAACGAAGATCAGCTGCTCACTGTCTCAGTCCAAAATTGTGTGGCAGTGCGGGGAAACCTAAATAATGATAGAAACACATTTTTCCAAATAGTGCGCCCGAAATTTCACAGTTCATTCATGACAGAGCACTTAAGGATGCATAGAACTTAAGATGCAACAAGATAGTAGAACAAGAGGTCATTTGTACTCAACAGTGCTTTGTTGCTTCATAATTGGAATGGTGTGTTTTTTTTCTAACATGTGTTGAGGTTTCACAAAACATACTTGCCCTGTTGAGCCAACAAATTGATTGCTATGTAAAACAATGGCACAAACATTTAAAAAATTGTGTAACATCTCAACAGCTGCTTCCTCTGCATTCTTATCCCTTTGTGTCCAAATATGTTCCCCAGATGTCCCTATCATGTTAGATACAATTGTTTTAAAGAAGGAAGTGTGAAGAGAAGGGGTTGACCTGTTGCACGTCTTTGAAAAGCACTAAATCACACTGGATAGTTGTTCTTTGCCAAATGGGAGCTCTCTATTGAGCTTTAAATCAGTATCGCCCATGTTTTGCGGCATTTTTAGCCACCACTTACCAATAACAGCTATTGAAGTTCAAGTCACTCTGCAGTTATCTGACTGAGCTACAACAAATGGATTGAAAAAGATTAGGATTGATATGGCCTGTGATTTGGATGAGATACCTTTCAGTGAAGAAAGAACATCTTTCCTTTAGTTTAGTTCAATTTTGCAGTCTTTGATGTCTGGTGTGGTTCTACAATTGAGAGTTTCACAATGGCAGAAAAGACACAATGCAGAAAACAAAATCCAAACATTCATCAACAATTTTACCCAAGATGTCAAAGTACCAGTAAAATAAAAAAAAGAATAATCAAGTCTTTAACGCATCATATTAATTCTAATCATTTCAGGATATTAAATATCATCAGCTATACTTTCATATGAGGTGATAGAAGGGTATGGGAGGGGATACAGAATGGTGGAGACTCATGTGGAGTATGAACACCGGCATGGACTGGTTGGGCTGAATGGCCTGTTTCTGTGCTGTATATTCTTGCTGTAGATTGCTGCCTGAGGAAGGAATCAGACATTTATAAATATAAGTCACAAAAATAAAATAGCATTATTTTCAAACTGAAAGCAATTTTATTAAATGCAAATTAAATTAAAGTTTAATTTTTAGTAAGCTGTTGCAATCAGTATGGATCCCACATATATTGGTCCCAATTATGTAATTATATTCCCAAGATCCCAAACTCTTAACTACCAAAGGTTTCTTAGCAGCTGGTTTAGACTGAGGATCAGAGGATGTAATTTGACATGATCAGGGTTGCATGTCAGCAAAATGGGCCCTGGAAGATTGTG